TAAATTAAATTTCAGTACTTTAAAACAAATTATAAAAGTCTGTTGATAAAAACTGCTGAATCGATGTCCATGAAATGTTGTGGAGGGTCGGGTATGAAACGAGGAATAACCGGTTTTGAAGCAGATCTGATACGATAAATCATAATTTAGATTCAACTTTTGCCAATCATCTGAATGTTCTTCATTCTTATTTTCATTGTTTTGTAATCTACTTCCATATCGCTCCCATTTCTGAGATTGTCAGCCATCTTTTAAAAAGCTACTTTAAAAACGTTTTGACAGGTCGAGAACAGAACATTAACAAACTACATTTTCCATAATGCAATTTGCCCTTCCCACAAAGGGAGAAGCACACATGTCGTACCTGATCGTAAAGCTTTTTGTTTTCTTGTTTTATCTTGTTTCTTTCCTTCATCAGTGTTGGACAGAACCTGTGATTTCTAATTGTACTTCTTCCTTGTCTCTCTCTTTTTTTAAATCTACCACTTCTCCTGTTTCCTCGACAAATTAAAACGAACCAGAGAAGAACCTGCAGGAAAGTGCATCCAAACCACAGTCGCACCGCTGCAAGGATTGTGGGAAATCCTTTGCAGGGACACGCAACATCCTCAGACACCAGCGGCATCATTGCAGCGTGTTGGTCCGAACGCCAATCCACTCAGAAGAGACGCAGAAGGAGACGTTTCCATGCAGCAAATGCAGCCGGTCGTTTCGGACTAAACAACACTTGGGGCTTCATGAGAGAGCTCACAAAAAAAAACAAGAAGGAAAAGAGGCTCCGCGAGAAAGATGTCACAGCTGCTCACAGTGCAACAAGAGCTTCTACTTGCTGCAAACTCTGCGGCAGCACCTACTCACGCACACCGGAGAGAAATCCTTCTGCTGCACCGTCTGTGGGAAGCAGTTTGGGAGAGAAGGAACTCTGAGGGAGCACCAGCTGATCCACACCCGCGAGAAAACGTTCACATGTGAGCAGTGCGGCAAGACGTTCGCCAGAAGAGGAGATCTCAGAAAACACATGGTCAGTCACTCTGACGAGAGACCGTTCAGCTGCAGCTTCTGCACCAAGAGCTTCAAACTCGTGTCCAAACTCAAGCAGCACGAGCGTCTCCACACAGGGGAGAAGCCGTACCAGTGCTCGCTGTGTTCGAAGAGATTCCGAATCCATGTATCGCTGGCGGTGCACCACCTCACACATACAGGAGAGAAACCCTTCAAGTGCAACATGTGTACAAAGGCCTTCAGCGACCGGAACAACTTGAGGAAACACCAGATGATTCACTCTGGAGAGAAGCCGTACAGCTGCTCGTACTGCGGCAAGAGCTGCCGCCTCCTGCAGCACCTGATCATCCACCAGCGCTGCCACACGGGTGAGAAACCATTCACGTGCGAGCAGTGCGGGAAAGGATACGCCCGTCTCTCCACTCTGAAAACGCACCAGTCCATCCACGTGGACAAACCGCTGCGCTGCTCCCTGTGCGGGCAGGAATTCAAGGGTCTACCGGAGCTGACTGATCACGTGTGCAAGGAGACGGCCGAGAAGCCGCACCGCTGCTCGCAGTGCGGCAAGTGCTTCACCCAGGCCGTGAACCTGAAGAAGCACCAGCTGATCCACTCTGGACAGAAACCGTATGACTGCAAACAGTGTGGGAAGCAGTTCAACCACAGGAGCAACCTCACGAAACACATGCGCATCCACACAGGAGAGAGGCCGTTCAAGTGTGAGCTCTGTGGGCGGAGCTTCAGGCTCCTGCAGCATCTCACTAACCACCTGACGACTCACAACAAGAAGCAGACGCACCAAGAGACCTCGTGACGGCAGCAGGTTGTCTTTATTTCACACATTCACACCTGGTGTAACACGAGTGTATAAACCTTTAGGTGCGCTTCACCTGTTAGAGCCGGATGTGACGTGTGCGTGGTTTATGTTGTTGTTTTCAGGACGTGTGACTGAATTAATTGTGAATTTGAATCAAGCTGCTGGTTTAAGGTCAGAAAGGTTTATTTAACTTAAATGCAAAAAGAAATCCAACAACCGGCTCATAAACCTTTTTTAAAAATAAGTTTGTTATTTTAATTAGTCGCCAGAACTTTGAAAGGACGATGTCTTCCATAGGTTTGGTCTGAATTTTGATTAATCTCAAAATCTGTGAAAACTGTGGTTTAATGTTTCTAAGCAAAGTATCAAAAAGTTCAAACGTCTTGAGTTCATATCTTTAAGTCGATTCAATCATCACGAAGAATCATCCAAACCCTCTTCTCTCAGTCCAGGGAGTACATGTCTGAAATTCATTGATCCATCGTCACAGATTATGAATATTTTCAGTGTCTGATAAAATTCGTCGCTGTTGTTTCTCTTGTAAAAATTATGACACGACAATAAAAGTTTTGAATGTAAATGGATCATCACATTGCTATTTGAACACTTCATTAATTAATCTTACAAACTGCTAAGACACAGATTATAGGGCGTTGTTAGATAATGTGCATTTCATACGACACAGTGGGACAAACAACATTGACCTCTGCACCGTGGTGATGATTCATGTGTAATAAGTGTTTTTACCACTAGGTGCTGCTGCTGCGTGATCAACCGTCTCCAGCTCATCACATCCAGTCTGTGGACGTCCCTCAGTGGTAAATAAAATCCTTCTAATCCTTACTAACAATGTCCAGGCGACCTCACAATGCTGGTGAGAATACAGGGGACATGACTTACAGGGATGTTTTAAAGGTTAAAGTTGGAGTTAGTCTGAAAAAGATATGTAGAAATACAAAAATAAAAATGTCTTGTCTTACAAAGTTTGTTCGTTCTGGACGTGCACCTGTTTCAGATCTTTTGTCGTTTGTTGAGTTTGTCCCCCTGAGGACAAACTCTCTTAAAGACACATTTTATTGTTGTCTTTTCTCCTGGTTCTTATCGTCTGTTTGAACCATTTTATGTTTTATTTGATGTGGTTTTTACTCTTTTCTCACCTCTAACTCATTTTATTTCTGTATCTGAGCTCTCATGTTGTGTGATCTTCAAATAGATTTTAATTGTTTCCAACTGTTTTTTTTTTTTTCTGTTTTTTCTTAAAACAACTTTTAGCTGTGTTTTGAAATGTATCATATAAATGAAGTTAAAGATTATTCTTGTTATTTTAGAAGTTGACGATAAGGAGAACCGTGGACATTGTGGTTTTGTAAAATCATCTTAACATTAAGATGTCACCTCCGGTTTCATGTGACTTTCAGCAAAAAGGAAAAATGAATAATTTCTCAATAAGAATCCTGTAAAAACTTTATTAAAAATATAATTTTATAGATAATTTGATATAACGAAAAACACAACTGTCCTCACTGATTTATAGCAGTGTCAATTCTGACTTTATTTTCTTCTGCGTGTTTATGATTTTAGTTCCTTTCACCGTTTACTGAAAGCAATCATTTAATCAGATGCCAGTAAATCCTGTAAAAACTGACCTGAACTGTGTGTTCTGTGTGTGTTTGTGTGTGTGTGTGTGTGTGTAAACAGCCTCTACATCGATCGAAGTTGCTCAACTCATGATGTGACCCCAGAGCTGTTCCTAACGCTGGTGAGTCATTGGTTTTGTGGAAACTGAACCTTGAGGCTTTAAATGAAGCGAAGTCGACGCTGGAGAATCATTCAGCAACAGAAGCGAAGATGAAACTCCTGGTGCTCGTCTGTCTGAGTTTGGTCAGTGTGGGGTCCTCCACGGTGAGTCTTCATCATTTGTTGTTTTTTTTAAGTTCAAAATTCATTTTTCTGTGGGTTGAATCATTATCTGTCCAGTTTAGCTGATTTATGATTAATACAATTTGAAATAATAGTTTTTTAGTTATACAGTGGTTATTTATAGGATCTTGCTCATGTAATTTTCAAGAATTATAGCAACACATTATAATGATGACATTGAATAAGGTCATCTCAATAATAACAGTGGGTGGAGGAATGTGTCTCCCTCTGATTTATGTGTTAAATAAATACTTATTATAAATATATTCAATTTGATAGATTTAGTATGTTACTCAATAAAGTATAAGTTTATTAAAACTATTCCCTTTTTTATATTTTTTATATTTTATTTTAAACAGCAGCAGTTTAATGGAAGCAATTTAATGGAAAAACTAGTAGATGAAGAAATCAAATGAACAGATTTCGTTTAGTAGCCAGATTTATAGATGGCAAGAAAAAGCAAGAAACAGTTGATCTACATTAAAAAAGACGCCTAACTAAATAAATGGAAATTCTTTAACGGTATGCATGTCACCATTTGTACTTTAAAAAAGTTGGTTCAATATGTCCCCCAAAGTAAATACGATTGATTTGAATTTAAAATTAAAATTGTATTTCTGCAATAAACTATGTTTGAAGATTATGATGTAAATAATATTTTTCCGTTTGTCTAGCTTTTAAACCCGAGAGGAACTCGTCCGGTGGAGCCCGCCACCAGGTCCGAGAAATGTGCCTCTCAAAAGGAGTGGCCTTTCTGCACAGACGATGACTGGGTAAACGGCTCCCTTCTTCCTGGGTTTTCTACAAACCAACAAGGAAAACACACGTTCATCTCATGATTTTCTTTAAACCTCCTTCAGGGCCACAAATGCCCGTCAGGCTGCAGGATCCAGGGTCTGATGGATAAATACGACCACAGTGTGCTGAAGAGGATTGAGAAGATCCGCAGCCTCCTGGACCAGAACAGGGTCAGCCATCGTTCCACCGACCAGGTGTCCAAACAGACGTACGACTACCTGAAGGACAAACTCACAACTGACGCAAGTGAGTGTGTGTTCGATTTCCACAGTGATGATTTGAAAAACGCCGGGAGGTTCAACTTGAACCACTACACCTTTATGCACCAATTTAATCATTTTCTGTATATTAACTTTTTTGTGAGCAGTTTATTTTATTGATTTTTGCCGACATAGACAGTAATTTATTGCTCAGATTCTCTAATATTGTGATCAAAATGATCAATGTTTATAATTGTGTCGACAATGCCTTACAAAGAAAAGTGCAACAAGCTCAGTTTTTTGCTACTTGTGGACAATTCAGAAATAAATGTACGTTTCAGATGAGGGTAGGATTATGTTTTAATCTGCGTTCGTTCGTTAATCAACAGGATTATGTAAAAACTACCTGACAACATATTTTAGTTAAAAATTATTTTATATTTACTGGTTCAAATGTTCAAATACAAGACTCCACTTTGGGTTGCATTTAAAATCTAAATTATTTTTATTTTTCTAACCTGGGGATAAAAAGAATGTATTACACACAACACAAAAGAGCACCTGAATATAAAATGATTATATTGATTATAATTTAATATCTTCATTCTTCACTCAATCATTATAATTTAATGTATTTAGATATATTAATTATGATTTATCCCTCCTTCCACCAGATCACGACAACAGCTACTATGACGTGGCCCAGAATCTGCGACAAAGGATCACTGACATGAAAATCAAGATTGACCGACAGCTGAGGATCCTCGCCGCCCTGAAGGATCGAGTCAAAGACCAGGTGGTGGAGATGCAGCGGCTGGAGGTACGGAGAAACGACAGGGGCAAAAAAGAAAAAATCAACCCACAGTTACAGGCGTTAATGTTGGATGTCAAACACAGAACGACGGCAATGACGAGAAGCAGTGGAGTTTAGAAAAAAGTTGTCTGAATTATTTGGCTTAACTTAGCGAAACTTATAGAAATCAGATGTTGCTGTGTAAATCAAAAATAAACTACAATTCAACACATTTGTAAATTAATGAAAGCTCAAACCTCATTGTTTTAGTTTTACTGTGACAATAGCTAGGTTGGCTATTTAGTAATAAACGCTGCAGGGCTGAGTCAGTAGCAAACGTATTTTTATCGTAACACATTCTTTGACGCATCTGTAACAGAGGTGGCGTGTTTTCAAACTGAATCGTAGTCGTGCGGCTGTAGCGTCTCAGTATGTGCAGTTGTATTTTCCCCTGCTGTAGCCTGGAATTATCTGTGTGTTAACACAATGTGTCCTCCGTGTGTGTCAGGTGGACATCGACATCAAGCTTCGTTCCTGCAAAGGTTCCTGCAGCAGCTACTCAGAGTACCAGGTGGACAAGGAGAGCTACGTGGCGCTGGGTAAACAGGTGAGAACCGAACTCTGGAACATCACCTGCATTTCCCCGGAGGGGCCAAAGTTCCAATTTAGTTCCTCAGAAGAGATTGAGGTTAAATAAATTATTAACAGAAACAAATCTGGCTTGAATCTGTTGAGGTGAAACATTGTTGATTAGTCAAACATGAAACTACACCACAGTGAAAAAACAAATTCTTATAGATCAACATAATTAGCCAATTTTTATTATGAATGTTTTCCCACATGAGCCCTATGAGACAAGTTGTGATTTGTGAATATGGGCAATAAAAATAAAACTTGATTGATTGATGACATTTCTTTATATCCTCACAACAGAGCAGTCATGTTTGGTAAGTGAACTGAAAACATCCAGTTCTTCAAATTCGCATTATAAAGTCTCATTTTTACTGAAGATTGAAACAGATAATAGCAGTACACTGTACCTTTAAAATGACAGAATCTACTTGTGGCAGCTTTTATTCATTATTCTCACACAATATGAAAAAAAAATCTTTGCATTTAGAAAGTTAAAACAGAAAACACCAGAACAAATCCATCTTTGTAACTAAACTTCTCCATCTGTCCATGTCCCAGATTAACCAGCTGGACTCCCAGTTGGCTCCGAACGTCGAGTCCGTGCGTACGCTGTACGTGATGAAGAGCAAGGAAATGGTGGAGGAAAGAGTCTTCAAGTCTGCCAGTGGCCCCTTGATGTCAGCACAGAAGACAGAAGATGTCTTCCCTGATGTGAGTGACACTTGTTTTTTGTTTTTTTTACTTGGACTGTGAAGGACTCTGCACACGACACAATTAGTTTGCATCCACGAATTTTACCAAGTGAAGCTCAGTTATTGTTTCAGGGTAAACCCTCAGATTCTCCTAAAGATTTTGATCTTGAAAAATATAACCATTACAACCAGAACATCATCTTTACAGAACCTGCACACTTGTTGTTCTTTCTCAGGTGAAGACAGTCAAGTTGATCCTCGAGTCAGAAGGCTCCTCTGCATCCCCAGCAACCATCACCAAGGACCCAGGTACTTCCTACTCTGCATCTACATCATCATCCTCCAGCGCTTCCTCCTCCGCTTCCTCCTCCGCCTCCTCCTCCTCCTCCGCCTCCTCCTCGAAAACCATCACTGAGCTCGGAAGCGACAGCAGTTTGTTTGGTACAGGGTTTGGAAGCAACAGCCAGCCCAGCACGAGCCACACGTCCACCAAATCCATCACCTGCACCAAGAGCATCAGGAGAACGATTGTCCAAACGAGCAGTGGACCAGAGGAGAAAATGGAGGAGGTGATCGAGGGAGGACCGGAGTGTCATGTTATGGCCGACACTAGCAAGGGCGGAATGGGCGCTTTTTTCCCCAGCCTCAGCCATACATCATCCACCTCATCCAGCACCACCAAGACGTTCCATAGCAGTGGCACTAAGGGAAGCATCACAGGAGGTGACAAAACTGGATTTCCGAATATATTTGCTTCTGACATTGATGGGTTCCTAACAGATGATCCAGAGGAGGACCTTCCTGACGTCCACGCCCGAAGTGTGAAGAGCGCGCGTGTTGAGCGACAAGCCGATTATATAGGAAAAGGTACCGAAAGCTCAAACCTGGAATAAATTTCAAAAGCAAAGAGGGCGATATTCAGCTAGACGACATGCTTTAGCATCAGCTAGCCCTATGTACAAGAAATACAATGTGAACACAGCATTTCTTATTGTTTGTTGCTAGAGCTAAAAAAAAAAAAACAACCTTTGCATTCACAGTCAGTGTGAAGCTTTTTATTAAGTAATTTTGAAATCCAAGAAACCGTCTGTAGACTAAGCAGGACAGCGTCGACAAGTAAAATTGATGTTTCAAAAGCAGATCCTCAAATATTGGTTTGGAAAAAGTTTTCTGACAGTTTTCTGTAAAAGTGTCTCTTTGGCTGGATTACGTTAATCTGTCAGAAAAGACTCACTTCACTTCTCTGGGGCAAGTCTCAGCCACCATTTTGGGAAAGTGCTCATTTTACTCTTTCGTTAACCGAAGAACAAGCCGGTCCAAGCTAACTTGCGGTTGCGGTGTGCCCCTCTCTTTTCGCAGATTGTGTTGAAGCCCACCAGAACCACCTGAAAGGGGAAACGAACGGCCTGTTTAAAATCAAACCCGGCGGAACAGACTCCACGGGTATAGTGGTGGTTTACTGCCAGCAAGAGGGGCTAATGGGTGGATGGTTGTTAGTCCAGCAGAGAGATAGTGGCGCGCTCAGCTTCAACCGCACCTGGGCTGAATACCGCAACGGGTTCGGTTCACTTGACATGCAGGGAAAGGGGGAGTTTTGGTTGGGCAGCCAGAACCTCCACTTGTTGACTAATCAGGCTGAGACCATGATGAAAGTGGAGCTTGAAGATTGGGAACAGGGAGTAGCAACTGCTGAGTATACAATCAGAGTTGGTTCTGAGGGGGAGGGGTACCAGCTGCATGTATCTGGGTACACGGGGGACGCCGGTGACGCTCTGGTGATGCCCATGTCTGAAATGGCGTCTGATGTGTCACACAACGGGATGAAATTTAGCACCTTTGACAGAGACAACGACAAGTCGGAGGAGAATTGCGCAGAGATGTACGGGGGTGGGTGGTGGTACAACAACTGCCAGTCGGTTAACTTGAATGGGATTTATAACAAAGGCGTTGTGTGGCCAACATACAAACCCGCTAGCTACAGACTTAAAACTGTGAAGGTGTTTATCCGACCAGCTGCTTTTTAATAACGCACAGAGCAAGAAAATATCGTTGCGTAATATCAAAAAAACACGTTTATACACATTTAGATTAAAAGAGGAAGCTAGATGTACGAGGGGCCAATTCATAATTGAGGACAAAAAATCAAGATAGTTTCATTGATCTGTTGGTAAATTATTGTGGGATTTCACAATCATGTCAAACAGTGTCCGTGTTTCTTCACTTGTATATTTGACCCACTGTGTAAACATGAGTTACCTGTTTGTTACCAAACCAGTGTTCATGGAAAAACATGATGTTCTGCCTGTTGCTAAACTCTGCTCGATCAATAAAGATTCAATGTTCACTTCAGCTCCTCTGGTTTGAGCCGTTTGTTCAGTTCCAATTTAAAAAAAAACACAAAAAGTATTTTTCATGTATAAACGAAACAAAATAATGACAAATATTGTTGAAAAGTAAAAGAAAACCAATGAAATACAAAAAATGTTTTAATTGTTAATTATTTCAAGAGCTTTGCCGAGGTTCTCATTTCTAGTTTGACGACATTGAAAAAAGGATTAATGTAAAAACATTTTTAGATAATCCAAACTTTTTTTAGTGTCTCATGTATCCCAGTATTTAGAAAAGGACACTTTGGTCCTCCATATATGTCACGTTATAATATAGCTGTATGTTTCCGTTATGTTATAATAATGTGGTTCAACCTGATGCATTCACAATGAACAATATCTTTAAAGATTGTTCAGTGCATCAGTGACATTGTGTTAACATTTACATCATCAAAACGCAGTATTTGTTATGTTCTGACAGACATTTTGCCAAAAATATTAAGACTAATAAAAAAATTTTCTCCAGGCAAGTTTACAGAATGAATGTGACAATGTTCCATTAAATGAGAAATGGTAAAAGGAAGTTGTGATGTCATGTTCTTTTCCTACTTAAACTTTTATGAGAACTGAATAATAAAAAATGAAAAAATCAATTAAGAAGATCTTTGTCCTTTCCAAATGTCCAGTGACAGAAAATACACAACACATGCACACAAATAACATTTTATATTTGCATTGTCATGTTTGAGTTGGAGCTCTGTTGAAGGGTAACTGGCCTTGAACTGAAAAGTGTCATCTTTTTTTCTGTTTTTTTCAGCAGTGTGTGTGAGGCTGACGCAGCAGAAACAAGATGGCCGACATCCCCTCAGTCAGACCCAGAGATACAGAAAGCCGCAGTGTCGAGCAGAATCAGACGTTGCTCTGTGTTCAGATGACGACTGGGTAAAAAAATACATTTTCTCTATTACATTTAAACTAGAAATACTGCGCTGGTTGGCGCAAGCAGTTTCCAACTACTAAACAGTTTTCTCCAGATTCATATAAGGTCACTGTTACCTTTAACCACTGAAAACTAATCTGTTCTGTACTAAAATTTGAAGAAAGTCCCCCAAGGCGTTCTTGAGATAATCGTGTTCACAAGAACCGTGTCCTCGTCCACAGGTCTCTAAATGCCCGTCTAGCTGCAGACTGCAGGGTTTGATCTCACAGATGGAGAGTGATGTGGAGAGAAAACTGTGGAAGGTTTGCAAGACAACAAAGTTGATCGAGGATGCAGCTGAGACGTCCATGACGGCGATGACTCAGATCTACAACTCAAACCGCAGAGTTATAGTCAACAGATACAGTGAGACTCACTGTTTTTCGCTTTTCTGGACAAAATGAAGTAAGTAAATAAACCAATGCCGGCTGAATAATGCTGTTTCGTTGTGTTCAGTGTCAGAGCTGAAGTTTGTGGAAGGCGCAAAGGAATTGTCTCAGACTCTGAGGTCTCTACGGAAACGCTCGACCAGTTTGTCACACCAACTCAAAGAGCTGCGTGTCAACGTCCAGAATCAGATTGAGGACTTGTATCAAACAGAGGTGAGATGAGTTTAGCAACTGAAAAACAGAAACAAAGTTTCACCTAAATCAAGTCTCTGTTGCACTCACATTTCCTCATTATTCAGAGAGAATGAACCAAGTCCTTAATTATTTTATCAATATAAAGTGCCAACATATGTATCGTGAGTTGGATTTCGCCAAGCTACCAACAAAGATGTAATCACTGATCAAAATCACGAACAATAAAATCCTTATACAACATTTCAGGTAGAACATCGTCTCTATAAAATATTTCTCATGTGTAGTACCCCAGGGCTTAGTTTTAGGACCGTTGTTTTTTCCTTGCATGTACATGTTCCCAGAATTGGATCTGTACTTTTTTCAGGTGTTGTTATGTGTGTTTTTGTTTTCATATCTTGCCAGGTGGACATTGATATGAAGCTCCGAGCCTGTCAAGGGTCGTGTCGGTCAGTGCTACCGTTCACTGTCGATCATCCCACTTATCAGACACTTCAAGCTGACATGGACCAGATAAACAAGGCTGTGACACCTGCTGGGGACATCGCACACATCTTGATGCAAACTGTTGATGTGAGCCCAGCCCCGTCTGCAGAATATAAGAGCATTCCAGCGGTCCAGAGAGAACTGCTGACCCAGTTTGAGGACATTGGGCAGAATGAGTTCGTTCTGGAGGAGCTGCTAGACCCCGTAGACGTGGAGGTTCCTAAATTTTAAGATTTTTGAAAAGGTGTTTCTCCTTCAAAAGAGACCATTCAAAATACTGCTGCTCATTATTTTCATGTTTTGTTTACCAGGGATGTGGTCACAGTTTCATATTATGTCATCTCAACACTTTTATTTATTAGAAAAATGTTGTAATGGATTGTCATTGCTGTGCTGGTTCCGTTGATAAAAGATTTAACTGTGAATCAGTCAGACCAAGATAAATGTCAGAAACTCCTTTTACAAACTATTAGCCTGACTTTTTGGTGACTGAATTTAAAAATTTTACATTTTACATAGTACACGTCATTTTCTACTTTTTCGGAAAGACTGTTCAACACATTCTAATATTTGAGTTACTTGTCTTTTTCACTGTTATAGATTAAAAGATAGACACGTGACTAATTACAGGAAAAAGTTCACGCAGATGCTTCCACCACTTGTTATGTATACACTGAACTATCAGTTCATAATTGATTGATTCACATTTGTTTTTATCTCTAGATATTGTCAAAAATATTCCTAATAACCACATAAATGAATGGACATTTACATATTCCTCTGCTGTGACATTTGGTGCCTTAATATACTATGACTATAATATTTTGGACTAAATACTAACTGTGATTTTTTTTTTCCATTTTTCCATTTTCGAACGACATACTTTTTTTTTTAAACTTTTGGACGACATGCTAACCTATGACTTTTTCATGAAATTTTAAACGACATGCTAACCTATGACCTTTTTATCAGTTTTCGGACGATATGCTAACCTATAACTGTTTTATCATATTTCGGACGACATGCTAACCTATAACTTTTTTATCATATTTTGGACGACATGCTAACCTATGACTTTTTTATTAGTTTTCAGACGACATGCTAACCTATGACTTTTTTATCATATTTTAGACGACATACTAACCTATGACTTTTTTATCAGTTTTCGGACGACATACTAACCTATGACTTTTTATCATATTTTGAGACGACATGCTAACCTATGACTTTTTTATCATAATTCGGACGACATACTAACCTATGACTTTTTTATCA